AGGACAACTAGACCGCCACATGCGAGAGAATAAAGTTGGACCCCACTTCACACCACATATAAAATTAACTCAAAATGGAACAGAGACCTAAATTTAAGAGTTAAGATTATAAAACTCTTAAAGGAAAACATAGGTATAAATCTGCATGACCTTGACTCAAGCAATGGTTTCTTAGATGTGCCACCAAAAGTGCAAGCATTTAAAAAATAATAAAACTGGACTTCATGAAAATTAAAAATGTTTGTTTCAAAGGATACCATCAGGAAAGGGGGGAAGAGACACTCAATTCCGGTCAAGATGGCAGGTAGGTAAACGCGGTATCACGTCCTCCCACAACCACATCAAAGTTACAACTAAACTATAGAACAACCATCATTCAAATCCGCCTTAAATCCAGCTGAATGGAAGTCCTACAACCACAGAATTAAAGAAGATGCATCAAGACTAGTAGGAGGGGCGGAGAGGCTGGTCCCACACCCACGTGTGGTGGATAAAAATCAGGAGGACACCTGGGCTGGGAAGGTCCTCCCTGAGGACTGAGGGGTCCCCGTCCCACACCAGACGCCCGCTCAGGGTTCCAGTGCCAGGAAGAGAATCCCCATAACTTCTGGCTGGAAAAACCAGCGGGAACTGAGGCTCAGGGACGCTAAGGCGGCTGGAGCCCTAGGCAGCGTGCGCGCGTGTGCGTGCGTGCGTGCGTGCGTGCGTGCGTGTGTGTGTGTGTGTGTGTTTCGTGGTACGTGCCCCTAGCGGGAACTAAACCCAGGACTCTCTGGTCCGCAGGCCTAGGCTCAACTGCTGAGTCAAACTGGCCAGGACCCAGGCAGCTCCTTAAAAGGCCCGCGCATGGACTTACTCGGACTCGCACCCTCTAAGCCTGGAGGGGAGGCAGCTCGAGGGGCACCAGAGACATACAGGGAGAAACTGAGCTGTTTGGCACTGGAGCGAGGGCTGGAGAGGGGGCTTTCTCCAGGACAGACGTGCTGTCAGAGGCCTTTGTTCCTTTGGTGAGCCCTTCCCTGGGGCGGCAGACAGTCCCCATATCTGGGACTCCAGCAACCTGGCTCACACTGGTAGCCCCGCCCTGGTGATTCCCTGAGGCCCTGCCCCACCCCACCCAACTTTCAGGCCCACTCAAGCTATTGCCAGTTGCTTAACCATAGGCCTGTCTAGGATCCTGCTTCAGGTTTTCCTAAATTCTTTCAAACAAGCAGCATCTGGCCTCAGCTAGCCCCATACCTCTCGTTAAGTAATACTTAGAAACAAACACAGGGAGGTAGCCAAATGAGACAAAGAAACGGGTCCCAAATGAAAGAACAGAACAAAACCCCAGGAAAAGAACTAAGCAAAATGGAGAGCAACCTAACAGATGCTGAGTTCAAAATACTGCTTATAAGGATACTCAATGAACTCAGTGAGAACCTCAGTGAACTTAGTGAGGGCCTCAAGAGCATAAAAAAGGACCAGTCAGAAATGATGGATGCACAGTCAGAAATGGAGGAGGCATTAACTGAAATAAAGAATAATTTACACAGATTCAATAGTAGAGAACGTAAATCCAAGGAGCAAACCATCGATTTGGAATATAAGGAAGCAGAACAGAAGAAGCCCAATCAGAACAGCAAAAAGAAAAAAGAATGCAAAAAAATGAGGATAGTGTAAGGAGCCTCTAGGACAACTTCAAGTGTGCCAACATTCGCATCTTGGGGTGCCAGAAGGAGAAGAGAGAGAACAAGAAATTGAAAACCTGTTTGAAACAATAATGACAAAAAACTTCCCTAACTTGATGAAGGAAACAGACATACAAGTCCAGGAAGCACAGAGAGTCCCAAACAAGATGAACCTCAAGAGGCCCACACCAAGACACATCATCATCAAAATGCAAAAGGTTCAAGACAAAGAGAGAATCTTAAAAGCAGCAAGAGAAAGGCAGCTAGTTACCTACAAGGGAGTTCCCATAAGACTGTCAGCTGATTTCTCAAAAGAAACTTTGCAGGCCAGAAGGGAGTGGCAAGAAATATTCAGAGTGATGAAAAGCAAGAACCTACAACCAAGATTACTCTATCCTGCAAAGCTGTCATTTAGAATCGATGGCCATATAGAGTTTCCCAGACAAGAAAAAGTTAAAGGAGTTCATCACCACCAAACCGTTATTATATGAAAGGATGAAGGGTCTTTTTGAAGAAAAAGATAAACTATATGAGGAAACAAAATAGCAATGAATACATATCTATCGACAATGGAATCTACAAACAAAATGAACAGGCAGAACAGAAACATTCTCATAGATACAGAGAGCATTTTGTTGGTTGCCAGATGGGAGGGGGGTTGGGGGAATGGGTGAAAAAGGTGAAGGGATTAAGAAGTACAAATTCATTGCTAGACTGACAAAGGGAAACGTGTTGGGGGGTGGGAAGAAATAAACCAAAGAACTTATATGCATAACCAATAGACAGAGACAATAGTGAGGGAAAAGGTTGGGGGGGGGGCGGGTATGGGGAGGAGGGGGTCAATGGGGGAAAAATGAGGAACATCTGTAATACATTCAATAATAAAGATTTAAATTAAAAAGAAAAAGAAAGGGGGGGAGGGACCCACAGAATGGAATATTTGCAAATAATACATCAGATAAAAAACTTGTATCCAGAATATAAAGAAGTCTTTTAACATAAAAATAAAAAGACATATATCCCAATTTTTTAAATGGCAAAGGATTTGAATATACATATATACTGAGAAGATATAAAAATGGCCAATAAGTACATGAAAAGATGCTCAACATCATTAGTCATTAGGGAATTACAAACCAAAACAATAATGAAGACCACTTACTATCTACTAGGATGGCTATAATAAAAACACAGACAATGACTAGTATCGACAGGATGTGGAGAAGTTGGAATGCTCATATATTGCTATTGGAAATGTAAAATGGTATGGCCGAGGTGAAAAACAGTTTGGTGGTCCCTCAAAAAGTTAAACATTGAATTACCATGTCACTCAGCAACTTCACTGCTCAGTATATACCCAAGAAAACTGATAACATTTTCACACAAAAGCCTGTATACAAATGTCCACAGCAGCACTGATTATAGTAGCTAAAAAGTGAAAACAACCCACCCTGGCCAGTGTGGTTCAGTGGTTAGAGACTTGGACTGCATATCAAAGGGTCTTGGGTTTGATTCCTAGTCAATGATGTGAACCTGGGTTGCAGGTTTGATCTCAGCCCCGGTTGGTGCACATGAGGGAGGCAATCAATTAATGTGTTTCTCTCACATCAATCTTTCTCTCCTCCTCCCTCCCTCCCTTCCACTCTCTCTAAAAAACCAATAGAAAAAATATCCTTGGGTGAAGGATTAACAAAAACAAAAAAGTGGAAACAACCCAAATGTCCATAAACTGATGAATTATGGATAAACAAATTGTGGTATATCCATAAATGGAATATTGTTCAGCTATAAAAGGAATGAAGTTCTGACACATACTGAAACATCGATATACCTCGAAAACATTATGCTAAGTGAAAGCCAGTTGCAAAAGATGACATAGTCTATGATTCCATTTGTATGAAATGTCCAGAATAGCCCCACAGGAACAGAAGGTAAGTTAGTAGTTGCCAGGGTGGATTAGAAAATTACTGCTAGTAGATATCAGGTTTCTTTTTTGGGTAATAAAATATTCTGAAAATAGGGATTATAGTAGGTTGAATGGTGGCCCTAAAACGTTATGTCCATGTCTTTTGGAAGGAGGGAATACTGACAAACCTCAGGGGGTGGGGCAGGAAGAGATAAACCAAAGAATTTACATGCACATATGCATACCAATGAACACAGACAAGAGAGTGAAGGTGTGGCAGGGGAGGGGAGTGGGATGGGAGCAGAGAGGAGGGTGTCAATGGGGGGAAAGGAGAAACTTCTGTAACAAAAATTAATTAATTTCTAAAACAGGTTATGTTCATGTCTGAATACCCAGAACCCATATTTGGAACAGAATCTGCTCTAGTCTCTGGAGGGGGTGTGACCCTGCTGACACTAACTGTAGACTTCTGGTCCCCAGACTATAAACTTCTATTGTTTTAAGCCACCAGGTTTGTGGTAACTTGTTACAACGGCCCTAGGAAACTAATAACAATGATGATTAGTATAAAACTTTGTAAGTTTACTAAAAACCACTGACATACTTTTTCAAGGGTAGACTTTATGGTAGACTCAATAACACTATTATTGAAAATACACACACACATACATACATACACACAAACACATAAGCTCATTTTACAACACATGAGGAAGCAACATCTTCACAGACTGAAGTACAGTGATAACTATAGTCCTTTGTTTTGCATACCAAGGTGATGCTACTGCCTCACAGCCATGAGGACGCATGCTCTGTAGAGGCTGACCTCTTGGGCTGGCACATATTAGGGGGATGGCTGGTCTGAATCTGTGAGTGCATTTCTGGGCACATGCTTGGGACCCATCTTTTCTCATTTCTGTATCCATAATCAACAGATAGACTAAAAAGGTTAACTGGATACACTGGAGAGGATAATTTCCAGCCCACCAAAAGAAAAAAGAGAGAGACAGCACAAAGAATACTTATCTGCCCAGGAGCTTACAGTGAGGACAAGTCCAGCAGTAACAGCCACTGTTGCTAAGCAAGCCAGGACGACCCTGGTGAAGGTCTCCAGGAGTGTCTGAGTACCCTCACCACCCTACAGTCAGACGAGAGTATACACTGATTTTCCCAGGAAGCAATCACCAACACAGAGGGGCCTGCACACATGTGTGCTTGCCACGGCACCGGAGGGATTTCTGGTAGAGGAAGGCATTGGAAACGGCCCCCTGGCAACATGGGAATTCGTGTAGACTGCACTGAAGGGGTCACTTAGATTTATCTGGGGTTCCTGGCAGTCTATGCAAACTCAATTCTCCAAGTTCTAAAGTGTGTGTGCAGCCAAAACAGACCTGGGGGACACTGACCTGCACCTTTGGACTTACCTCCACACATCGCTGCCTTTGGAGAACATGGAGGCACGAATGACTTCGGGTGCCATCCAAGCATAGGTCCCTGCTGCGCTCATCTTGGTGGTTCGGTGCCATTCTCGAGCCAGGCCAAAATCAGTGATCTTCAGAATCTTGTTGCTCAGGTCTCCATTCTCCACCTTCTGGAGGATCAATACTGGGCAAGGAAAGGAATACAGAAGACACCAGAGAGTCTGCATTAATCACAGGGAAACCACCAAACACGGAGCCCTCCTGCCATCCACTCGCCTCTCCTGCAGGCTCCATTGTGCAGAGACTATGGACTGACTGACGGTAGGAGCCACCATCTCTTAAACACCTATGATGCTTCCATTTTTTTTTTGGAATCCTCACCCGAGAACACTTTTCCATTGATTTTCAGATAGGGAGGGAGGGAGGGAGGGAGAGAAACATCGATGTGAGAGAGACACATTGACTGGTTGCCCCCTGCATGACCCCAACCAGGGCCAGGGATCGAATTGCAACTGCAACTGAGATACGTGCCCTTGGCCAGAATAAAAATGGCGACTCTTTGGTCTGGGGGCTGACACTCTAACCGCTGAGCCAAACCAACCAGGGCCAATGCTTCTACTTTTATGCATTATCTCCAACCCACACAACAGTCTTATGAAGTAGGTACTACTGCCATCTCTGTTTCACAGAGGAAACTGAACTATAGCACCATTAACTAAATTTTCCAAGGCCACCCAATGAATAGCCTTTATACCACGTATGGCCCATCGGCACCCTGGGGAAGGAGCTGTGAGGTCACAGCCGACCCTTCTGAGAAGGGGCTACGAGAGCTTCCTGCTGCCAGGGCACTCCTGGGCTGTAACCGCTCTCAGGCCACAGGGAACGGAGATGCCTGTTGGATTGTCAAGGTTTCAGTGTCTGAACAGTTTCCGTGAACCAATTCAAGTTACTTTACTTAAGCTCTTGAGAAAACACATTTTGGGACACAGAGATTTCCCCTTACTCCAGGAACTCACCCCTACCCATTGAGAACTGGCTGACAGGGTCGGAGGGCACACACGTGCACACCCATGCTGCTCTGTGAACATAGCCCGGGAGGAAGATCTAGTGCACTGAACTGGTTGTACCTGGGCCGTCTCCCAAGGTGCAACACCCAAGCACCGCGGTGTGGGAGCCGGCGTGGCGTTCCTAGGACAGCAGCTGAGGCAGCCACCTCACCCCAGGACGGTTCCAGTGGTAAGTGTGCCCGTGTGGGAGTCAACTTCCCCTACCAGGGCGGAAACGCTAGTTGACTACAGAGCCATGAGTTAAGCCAAGGGACCGCCTGAGGGGGCAGCGAGTGAAAGCCTGGGATCTGCACCTGCGGAAGGCAAGCCCCAGGGTAAACACAACCTCTGTGGACCAGATGCTGAGCCCTGAGGAATTCAGGGAAGAAGGAAGATCCTCTCTGCCACTCCGCGGGGGTGGGGGTGATTTTAGGGCAGGGGCTTAGGGAGGTCCCTCAATCACACAACTACTTTTCCTGCCGAGCCCCCGCCCCCAGCAAATGTTCACTGAATTGTTACCATGTTGAAAGGATGAGGGCCAAAGGTCTCCAAGTCCTATGTGCTTCTCAGAAAATCGTCAGTAAAGACAGATTATGAGCTGCCAGCGCTGGAGGCACCGAAGAAAACAGTGCCAGCCACTCCCTAGATCTAATGGACTAAGGCTCCTTGCTCCACACGCTCTCCCCAGACACACCCCTCCCCACTCGGAGCCTCCCGCAGCCTGAAAGGGTCCAGGCCTCCGAATACTTGGGCAGATGAAAAACAAAGCGAAATGCCTTTCTCCATGTCACCTACTAAAAATCTTTTCCAGGTTCTTCTGTGCCTCTCTCCCTGTCTCCTCCAACAGAAATAACAACAAATACACGCTCAGGCTGCAAACACTGAAGAAATCAACAGTGAAGCCCACAGTTCCCTCTATACAGGGCTACCAGCTGCTGGCCGTTTCTCCCTAAGAGGCCCTTAAACCAAAGGTTCAGAGAGAACTCCCCCTTCCATAGTCAATGGGGTTTAGTCCCGTTACCCCACATCTCCAGGTGGCTGGCACAGGGTGCAGTGGGGAGGAGGATACGAATTTCACCGTACATACTGAACCAGCTGAACTTCCTCGTGCTCTGTGCTGGAAGGGGAAGCAGTTTAGATTCTGATACAGGAAATGGAATTTTAGCACCTGAAGATGGTTTTTTAAAATAGTCTAGTCTGTCAGATGGTTTAAGAGGGATGGCAGAATGACGGAGAGAGGACAAGAATCAGCCTGGAGGCAGTCGGTCTGAATGCCGAGAGATGGTGCAGGTGCAGCCCAGTTTCATCTAATCCCCACTCCGCCCTGCTGCCTCACACCCAGCTGACCTCAAACATTTATCCCAACAGGTTGGGCCCCGGAAGGCATCTGAGTTAGAAATCCCTGGTCCAGTTGTCCTGCCCTCAGCCACGAGCAGAAGCTGTAATTAGAAGGCAGCTAGTAATCCTGGCAGATGGTCACAGGCAGTGATTCTCAACAGTGTCCTGACATACTGGTATCAACAAGCACCTATTACGAGTAATAATTATGGTTACAAAGTTTGTAAAAACTTTATATTTTTTGTAGTTTTTTAAAATTGAGATAACATTCACACAGCATAAAATTAACCATTTTAAAGTGAACAATTCAATGGTATTTAATACTTTCAGAATGTTGTACAACCACCATCTCTATCTAGTTCCAAAATATTTTCAACACTCTTCCTAGGAAACCTCCTACTCATTAAGCAATTGTTCTCCATTCTTCCTTCCTCCTAGCCCCTGGCAACCACCAATCTGCTTTCTATCTCTGTGGATTTACCTATTCTGGATATCTCACATAAATGGAATAATATAATATGTGACACATATGATTACTGCACTTGGCATGTTTTCAAGGTTCACCCATATTACAGCTTGTATCAGTACTTCATTCCTTTTTATGACTGAATAATATTCCATTGCATGTATATACCGCCATGTGTTTATCCATCTGTCCACTGACAGACCTTTGGGTTGTTTCCATCTTTGGATTATTGTGAATATTTTGATTGGTGTGAATAGTGCTATGAACATGTGTGCACATATATTTGTTTGAGTACCTGTTTTCAATACTTTGGGGTATATACCTAGGAGTGGAATTACTAGGTTATATGGTAAGTCTATGTTTAACTTTTGAGGAACCACCCAGCTGTTTCCCACAGTACCTGAGACAGTTTACATTCCCACCAGCAAAGTGTAAGGGCTCTAATTTCTCTACATCCTCACCACACTTCCTTCTCTTTTTTCAAATAGCCATCCTAGTGGATGTGAAGTGGTTTCTCATTGTGGTTTTGATTTCCATTTCCCTAATGATTAATGATGCTGAATATCTTTTCATGTGCTTTTTGGCCATTTGTATTTTTTAAGAGTTTGTTTGCTTATTTATTTATTCCATTGATTTTTAGAGTGGAGAGAGAGAGAGAAATATCAATATGAGAGAGACACATTGATTGGTCATCATCCACACGCACTCTGATCACACGCTGACGGGTTGGTTGATTAAATAATGATAGCTCCCCATTACTGAACACTTACTATGTAGTAACATGTTGCTCTTTACATGATGTATGTAAAGGGGCTGACATACATCACATTAGTTAATCCTTAGATCAACCCGTATGAAGTAGGCATCATTTCCCCCACTTAACTCATGCTGAACAAACACAGAAAGGTTACATAGTGAGGGGTGGAAACGGGATCCGAAGCCAGATCTCTCGAGTGCTGTGCCATCCAGAGGAAAGAAAGAAATCCTAACCACCTTTAAGGCCTATCTCAATTTCTGCCTGCTTGCTAAAGCCGTCGTTGATTAACTGGTCTTCACTGCTCCCCCTTTTCCTGAATTACTCCTTCAGCACCCAAAAGCAATACCAGACGGTTTAACATTATACACTCCTTTCAGTCATTCCCTCTGCTGCATGTATGTGTCTCTTCATTTCCTCTAGACTGTGACGGAATATGACTCCCTGCGGGCAAACCTTCTCTTTCTTCTGGAACCCACAGTCTCCAGTCCAGGAACCAAGCACAGGGCTGGGCTCCCTGAAAGAACTGGCCCCTCACTGATCACTGATTCCTCTGAAGGACCACCTGTGAATCCTTCTCAGCCTCTCCACTGCCCCGCCCTATTGTTGCCAGGTGTTGGGAGCATCGCGCCAACATTACCAATCCCTGGGGAGCTAAGAGGAGCCAGGTGTATAGCAGGGAAGATGAAGATACCGGAGAAAGGGGAACACCTCAGCCAGGTTCACTGGTGCCAGGTAGGGGGACACAAGGAAAGATAAGCTGGTGACTCTGCCATCAGGGGCCTTCCAAAAGCTATACGGAAAGACACACAACAAAACAGGATGCCAGGTCAGGACAAAGTGTGCATCAATACGGCTCAGGTTTTGCTACAATCACTAAGATAAGCATGGATTTCCAGACCTCAGTAACTCAAGGACACTATTCTCTCTCTCTCTCTTTTTTTTTTATCCTCACCCCGAGGACATTTTTCCATTTTTTGTTCAGATAGAGTGGGAGGGAGGGAGAGAAACATCAATGTGAAAGGGACACATCGAGTGGCTGCCCAACCAGGGTCGAGGACAAACTGCAACCAAGGAACACACCCTTAGCAGAAACCGAACCCGGGTCTCTCTGGACCACAGGCCGACGCTCTAACCGCTGAGCCAAACCGGCCAGGGCAAGGACACTATTCTTGATAATTCCCAGATCAGGACACCACCTATATACCATTTACTTAATTTTTTTTTAATTGACTTTTTAGAAAATTACACAAAGAAGAAATTTTATATCATAACAAATGGGAGAAACAAATATCCTCCTAATATTAGGTACAAATACATAAAATGAAAACAACATACTAAGTTTCAGTAGATCCTGCTGCTGGTCAAAGTTCTGAGCCTAAGGCCTGCTTTCTTGGTCAGAAAGAGAAAATGAGAAATGTTAGGAATAAAAGGCAAACTAGCGCCAGAAAGAATCTGATCCTCTATGAATATTGAGCGGTCGAACGACTTTCTATGGGATTCCACAATATTTATAAATATATGTTTATTGATTTTTTAGATAGAGAGGAAGGGAGATAGAAACAGCAGTGAGAGAGAAA